ATTTTTAAAAAGTTACAAAAATATTTTCTCCCTTCTCCCACCCCATGAAAAGAAAAGAAAAAAAGCAAGTTTCTTGTAACAAATATTCATAGTGAAGCAAAACAAATTCTTTCAACGGCTGTATATAGAAATATATGTGCCTGTATGACCTAAGTCAAATTGCTTACCATCTTAGGGAGGGGGAGGGGAGAAAGGAAGGGAGAAAATTTAGAAATCAGATTTTTAAAAAATTAATGTAAAAACTGTCTTTACATATAATTGGGGAAAAATAAAATACTACTAAAAATAAATAGAAACATATGTGTCTCATTCTATATCTTATATCTGTCACCTCTCTGTCATGGATAGCATGTTTCATCACTGGTCCTCTGGAATCACGAATGGTCATTGGATCAATGATACTTCTTTTAGCTTTCAAAGTTATTTGTTTTTACAGTATTGTATAAATTTTTCTCCTTTAATTAAATTTTTCTCCTTTAATTCTTCATCAGTTTATAAAAGTCTTCAAAACAGTTTCATTTGTATAATATTAATGTTATAGTATAAACTGTTCTCCTGGGTCTGTTCACTTTTCTTTGTATCAGCTCATATAAGTCTTCTTATATCTTTTTGAAATCATCTATTTCCTGGTTTCTTACAGCACAATGATACTCCATCACCTTCACATATCACAACTTATTCGGTTATTCCCAAATTATTGGACATCCTCAATAAAGTAAATAGAATTAATAAATATTTATTAGATGCCTATGATGTACTTTGCTAAGTGGTGGGGACACAAAAAGAAGCAAAAGACAGCCTCTTAGTTTCCAGGCTTTCCTGCCACCACAAAAAAAGCTGCTATAAATATTTTTGTACATAAAGGACGATTTCTATTTCTTTGATCTCTTTGGGGTACGGGCCTAGCAGAGGTAAAGCTGGGTTAAAGGCCTTACAGTGTTTAGTACCTATTTTTAATAACTATTTTCTCATAGTTCCTCCAGTATTTATCATTTTCCTCGTCTGTCATCTTCGGCATTTCTAATGAGGTGGAATCTCAGAACTGCTTTAATTTTCATTTCTCTAATTAGTAATGGGAATATTTTTCTTCATATGGCAATAGATAGCCTAGGTTTCTTCTCTTGAGAACTGTCTGTATATATTCTTTAACCAATTATCCAACTGAAGAATGACTCTTTTTTGAGTAACTTTGAACTAGTTCCCTACGCATCTTGGAAATGAGACCTTTATCAGAGAAACTTGCTGCACACATATTTTCCCAGTTACTTATTTCCCTATTAATTTTAATTTCATTAGCTTTATGCAATAACCTTTACATTTTATGTAATCAAAATTATCCATTTTATCTGCTATGACCCCCTTCTATTTCTTGTTTGGTTACAAACTCTTCTCCTATCCAAAAATCTGATAGATAAGTTTCCCCCATGTTTCTCTAATTTGTTTATCATGTAACCTTTTATATCTAGGTCATGTTCCCATTTGAAGCATATCTTTGTGTAAGGTGTGAAGTATTGGTCTAAATCTGGTTTCTTCCATTTTTCCCAACAGTTTTTGCTAAGATGAGTCCTTATCACAATAGCTGGGGGGGGGGGGGGTGTCTTTGTATTTGTCAAATACATTTGTATGTTGTTCCACTAATCTGTTCCACTGATCAATCTTTGTACCCAGTACCAAACTGTTTTGATAATTACTGTTTGTATTATAGTTTGAGATCTGCCACTACTAAGCCTCTTCCTTAACTATTTCTTTTAATTATTTTGCTTGAGATTCTTAACCTTCCTTCCTCCACATCAATTTTGTTATTAATTTTTCTAATTCTATAAAGTAATCCCTTGGCAGTTTGATTGATATGACATTGAACAAATAGAATAATTTAGGCATTATACTGGCTGATTCTACCTATGGACAATTAATATTTTTCCAATTACTTAGGTCTATCTTTACTTCTGTAAAGCAGTTATTTGTAGTTGCATTTATATGGTTCTTGCATATATCTTAGAAGGTAGACCCCAAAGTATTTTCTATATTCTGTAGTAATTTTAAATGTAATTTATCTTTCTATCCATTCTTTCTGGGTTTCACTGGTATTATATCAAAAATGCTGATGTTTTGGGTGGATTTATTTTATAGCTTGCATGTTTGTTGAAGTTATTGTTTCCATTTATTTTTTAGTAACTCTTTAGAGGATTTTGTGCACCATTACATTATCCACACAAAGTGATCATTTTGTTTCTTCTTCATCTATGTATTCCCTCAATTTTTTTATCTTCTTGTTATAGTCATCATTTCTAGTACTATGATAAATGGAACTGGTGACAATGGATGGTCGATTTTTTAAAAAATTCTCTAGCTGCCTCAGGAGGAAGAAAGCCCCTGAAACACTAAAGTGAAACTATCAGTTTAGGGTGTTAAGGGAAAGTCTCAGCTAGTTACCTCACATGCAAGGAGGATTAAAGAGAATGCCTCTCTTTCCTCTCTCCTCATCCAAAGGAAAGGGCTTCAATTAGGCTGATCATAGGAAATGACAACTTCGTTGTTTGTTTTGAAGGAAAAAATCTAAAGAAAGATGACCAGGGTAAAAGAAAACTCCTTCACTCAAACTGGTTCCCCAGAGCCTAAGACATTTACAACTCAACTCCTGAGGCTTCAGCAACAAAAATTCAAAAAACGAAAACAGAAGCAGAAGTACTTTTATAACACCAAGATGACCAAAGCACAAATCAAGAAGATAACTTGAAAACACCCATAATCCCTCAAGGAAAAAAAAAACACCTTTCCCACAAGAATAACTAGAATTCTTCAAAGAAATTGTATGAGTTTTAAAAAGATGTTACAAATGAAATGAGAGCTACAGAGAAGAGACCCAAGAAAAGGATCAGTAGCTTAATAGAATAGGTTCAAAACCTTATCCTAGTAACAAACTCCCTAAAAATCAGAATGGTCTGATTAGAAATCAATGACTTGGGAAAAAAATAAACATTCTTAAAATGAAACCCAAAAAAATGGAAAAAAAAGGAAGAAAATGTAAGTTATTTCATATGAAAAACAACTGACCTGGAGAACAGATCAAGGAGAGATAAATTAAGAATCACAGGATTGCCTGAAATCCATGACCACCTCCCTCCCTCAATAAAATAACTTGGATATGATATTTCAAGAAATCTTTAAGGAAAATTTTTCAGGCATATTAGAATGAGAGGGCAAGCTGCAAATAGAAAGAATCCACTAATCACTTCCTGAAGGGAACAGCAAAATGAAAATTCCCAGGAATGTCACTGACAAAATCCAGAACTTCCAGATAAAAGGGGGAAAAGATAGCACAAGCAGCCAGAAAGACAAATTAAAATATCAAAGAACCACAATCAAGGTCACACAAGATTTATCAGCTACCATTGCAAAGAAGCAGAGAGCATGGAATAGTACATTCCCAAAGGCAAAGGACAAAAGTTTATAATCAAGAATAATTAGCTCAACAAAACTGAGTATCATTTTACAAGAAAAAAAATGGATCTTCAATATAATTTTCAAATATTCTTTTTTTTTAGCTTTTAAAAATATTCACAACTTAGTTCCAACTTACCTTTTTCACCTTATGATACAGTCCTCGCTTATCGCACTCTACAAACCAGCTGAATTGATCTTTTTGCTGTTCCTTATAGATAGCATTATAACTCTCATCTTTGCATCGTCCCCCATGCCTGGAATGCCCTGCTATCTCTGCCCCTTAGAATCCCTTGTTTCCTTCCAAACTTGGCTCAAGAGACACTTTCTACATGAAGCCTTCTTTGACCCTCACCACAAGTGCCCTCCCCTACCAACCCAAACTTCCATTCATTTATTTCACATATATATATTTTTGTAACACAAGTACACACATACCTGCATACATACACACACATTTATACATATATGCATTTACATGTGCATGTATGTGTATGCATGTGTACATATACCTATACCTACAGAGGTATACATATACACAAATATACAATCTGCATATGCATATGTATATATATATACACACACACTATATATACACACACACACACATTGTGTACATATATGTATATATATATTGGGGGAGCGAGGTGGCAGAATGGATAGAGTGCTGGGTCTGGAGTCACGTAGACTCATCTTCCTAAGTTAAAATCAGGCCTAAAATCTAGCTGTGTGACTATGGGCAAGTCACGTAACTCTGTTTGCCTCAGTCTCCTCATCTATATAATGAGCTGGAGAAGGAAATGGAAACCACTCCAGTATCTCTGCCAAGAAAACCTCAAGTAGGAGCAGCTAGGTGGTGCAGTGGATAGAGCACCAGCCCTGAAGTCAGGAGGACCCGAGTTCAAATCTGGCCTCAGACCAAACACTTGACACTTACTAGCCGTGTGACCCTGGGCAAGTCACTTAACCCCAATTGCCAAAAACACCCAAAAACCAAAAAACAACCAAATGGGGTCACAAAGAGTTAGATACAACTGAAAAATGACTGAATAACAACAAATGTATATAATACATGTGTACATATGTATGTATACACTATGTATACACTTATCTACATAAGGTGCATACACACACACACACACACATATATATACACACCTAAATGTACACATATATAATAGTGTGCATGTATACATACATAAGCACACATACCTTTTGGTTCCCCCTAATCAAATGAAAGGTCCTTGAAGGTAGGGTCATTTCATTTGTTTTTGTATCCTCGGTGCCTAGTATAGTGCCTGGCACACAGTAGGTGCTTAATAAATGCTTGTTGATTGATTTCTTTTGCTTTATTCACCAGCTATGCTCTGGAGTTTGAGGGCTTGTTAGTAGGTTCTGCCAGAGGGAGGAAAGCTATTGCTTTTAAGGGGGTCTATGAACTTGGATGGGAGAAAAGTCACATTTTTATTATGGCTTCATTAATACCTAATTGAAATTTAGCATTTCCTTAAATTATTTAAAACACAGATACTAATAAGGAGTCTATAGGCTTCACTCACCAGACTGGGGAAGGAGGGTCCATGACACACAGAAGTGAAGAATCCTACTCTCAGCTTTCTCTTGGATCAACCCTGGCAACCAATGGAATAACAGATTTTTCAGTCTGTTGACCAACTTTCTCTTCATCCATCCAATCCAATTAAAAACAATTCATTGAATACCTGTTATATAATTGGTCACCATGCTCACGTTTATATAGTTACTTTAAGATTTGCAAGCACTTTTACATACATTGTCTCATTTGATCAGTATCAAACCACGTGTGATAGGTGCTATATTATTCTTTTAGAGAAGGAAACTGAGGTCAGAATGGTTAACTTGCATAGGGTCACACAGTATGTCTCTGAGGCAGAATTTAAACCCAGACCTTAGAGTCAGGCTTTCCTGACTCTGGGTCCAGTGATCTAGCTGCTTGGCCACATTAACTTTTCCCCTTACCATCCCAACTTACATTCTACCTTTCTGTACTTACGAATGCTCATCCCTTCTAATACTCATAAGTAACTCTACATGGTGATCAGACCTTCTTTGAGAACGAGTTTGATTCCAGATGATAAGACAGTTATTCAGCTGTCCCCAAATGCAGCATCCTTGGAAGGGCTGATATTGAGCTAAACCATCAGCATTTTGAAGGCTGGCCACCATCACCCCCATCTCTGCTCAAAGACGCACACCAACTATTCTTAACAGGGTCTGTGGTCTAGGAATAAGATGACTTGGATTCAAACCCACCACCACCACCACCACCTCCCCCACTCACAGCATCTGTATGGTCACTGCTGTATAAACTAGACACACTTTCTTGGGCTTGCCTGTGTTCCAATGATGTCTTCAGATGGACGACAGACTTCAGCAAGGACCGATGATCAGCTGTGGCCACGAGGATGGAGCATTATGTGTTCCCCTTCTTGGGAGCTCTTCCCAGTCAGGTGCATGGAATCTGTGATATCAGCCCTCCTGAGAGCTGCCACGTCGGTTAACTGATGAGTCAGTGTCTTAAGAGCCTCTGACGCTCGCTAGCCATGTGACCTTGGGAAAGTCACCTCACTCCTCTCAAATGAGTTCCCTCATCTCTAAAATAAGGGGATTGGAGCAAATGGTCTCCAAGGTGCCTAACTCTATAAGCCTAAAGAGAACATGTCGTCTCCCTTTTTATCCACTCCTACTCTCCTTCCAACAGGAACGTGTGTTTCCCATACCAGTGAGTAGATAGCGCCATCTCACTGACCTGGAAGTCTGAGCAAGGTCTAGCTAGGACAAACTCCATCTCATTCTATCCCTCCATGGAGCTGGGAGCTGACAAGTGTCTGACCTGGTGGACCTTCCCAGAGAAAACTTCTCCTTGTCCACCCCACTGGCTGTCAGGCTCAATGCCCAGGTCTAATACACTAGCCAGGCTCCCTTTCTACTCCCTAATAAGCACAACTCACTACTACAGAGTTATCATGGCCCATAAGAATGAAATCCAATTCAGGGTTGAGTTGGGGAAGTGACTGTGAGAAAACCTCCCTCTGAGTGTACGGGCGGAAAGAAGCTCAGGGAAACCACAGACATCTGTTACTTCAAAGGTAAGAGACAGACAGAGATAAAGGAGAGAAAAAGAGGAAGGAGGAAGGAAGATAGAGGGAGAGGGGAGAGACGAGACAGAGACAAAGAGAGACAAAGAAGAGAGAAAAGGATGGGGGGGAAGGAAGACAGGGGAGAGAGGAGACAAAACGCAGAGACAGAGACACAAAGAGGAGAGACATCAAGAGGAGAGAGATAAAGAGACAGACACAGATACAGAGAAATGGATCAAAAAAGGGTAAGACAAGCAGACACAGAAGTCTAGTAAATGTGCCCTCCTGTCTTCATGGTCCTTCTTTAGAAGGCAGTGAGTGAAAAGTAAAAGGCTGACCTTCCTTTGAACCCCAAGAAGCTCTGAATAGCTTTCATTATTGCTGTTTTTAGGTTTTCACTTACAAAACAAAAAAGGCCCATGTTTCTTCTTCTGTGGAGACTGCTTGCTTTGCATACATTTATGAGTAACACCTGCTTGTCCCCTAGATACTTACAGCTCTAGGCTACCCTGAATTTTTCCATGAATCTTCACAGTGAGAGGTGATGACCTCTCGCTTAAGGGAAGTTCTCTTGAGATATCTGCAGAAATCTCACCATCCTCCTCACCAGCCTGCTCCGAGAGCTCAGCGGAAAAGGCAGCTAGCGCTTCTGAATCCCAAAGCTTCTGCAGAGACCCCACTGTCTGCCTGTCACAGGCTCCTGAAAGAGCAGGAGCCCAGTTTGTCTCCTTTTTGTTTCTTAAAACACAAGAGGGGCAGCTGGGTGGTGCAGTGGATAGAGCACTGGCCCTGGATTCAGGAGGACCTGAGTTCAAAGCTGGCCTCAGACACACGGTACTCACTAGCTGTGTGACCCTGAGTAAGTCACTTAACCCCATTGCCTAGCCAAAAATAAATAAGTAAATGAATGAATGAATGAATGAATGAATAAATAAATAAATGAATAAAAAAGCACAAGAAGCAGGGAAAGGAGGCAGAAGCTGGATCCAGTCACATCTGGACCCCTAAACAAAATGGCAGGACAAGATGGACTTTTTTTTTTTATTAGGCAATGGGGTTAAGTGACTTGCCCAGGGTCACCCTTGGCTTACTTTTGATAGCCCTATATCAAAAGGTCTGTGGGCCAGGGCCTCAAGCAGTAGAATTTTTACCTTTTCCTAGGAAAGGTAGCTGATGATTTTGAAAGCCCCTCTAAAGCTTTTCAAGCTATAGTTCAACCTGATTATTGGGTGGTAGCAAAGGATTGTTTTTTAAAAATCTATTTTTTCTTTCAAATAACAAAAATATTTTTTCTTTCCCTCTTTTCCCCATCCCCTTTGTGACAAATACACAGTCAAACAAAACACATTTTCTCACTGGCCATGTCAAAAAATAAGTATTGCTCAATCTGCACCCTGAGTCCACCTCCTCAGTGTCACGAGTGGGGCAGCATGATTCATCATCAGCCCTTTGGCCCTATGGTTGATTAGAGTTCTATAATCTTTCAAAATGGTTTTTCTTTACAATGTTATTACGCCAATCTTTCTCCTGGTTCTGCTTAAGTCTACATCAGTTCATGCAAGTCTTCCCAGGTTTCTCTGAAAATTTTCCCTGAAATGGACTATTTTTCAACATAGGGGGATGAGGAGAGGTGAACAGTTATGGCCAATAATCCCACACTTCCAGTTTCCATACTGCACTGTCCCATGGCCTCAGGGAAGTTAAGCAACTTGCTTCAGGTTACAAACTGGTGGTGTCTGAAGGTGGGATTCAAATCCAGATCTTCCTCTCAACTCAAGTAAGCTCCACTGGGTTGGCCAAATCTGGTTTGTGGCTAGGCCTTAGAACTCCCACTTAGGAATGAATACCTAGGGATAGAAGATGGCTGAAAGGGCAGTGGAGATTAAAGAGGACCGTGCTTGGAGTCAGAAAGCCCTGTCTTAGCACTGACTGGATGCATGGCTGGCCCTGGACAAATCACTGAATTTCTCTGAACCTATGTAAATGGGGGTGATGATAATATCTAACCTATCTACCTCTCAGAGCAATGGTGAGAAAACTGCTTGGTAAACCTGGAAATATTACATAAATGTGAAAGATTGCTATCTCAAATAGCATCGAATGGCCTTTATAAATCAGGGTAGGAGATGCCCAGTTGGCCAGCAGAGATTGTGTGGCAGAAGACCCGTTATGCCTGTTCTACATAAAATAATGGCCCTAGAAGGGGAGAAGAGGCAGGTGCTACTGTCCTCGGGGGTCCTCCAACCCTGCCCTTGGGTCAGCGTAATTTACCCCCCACCCACCTACCATGTAAGAGTCAATAACAGACAGCACTCCAAATGGCATTTTTTTCCTTTTAATTCCTGAGATAAAAACCAAAAAGGCAAAAAGCATGAAACACCCCATATGGTGCAGTATATGTATTGCTAATGAACGAATATACTTCAGTGACAAAAATCTCTCACCCCACTTCTAGGGGTTGGGGTGGTGCCCAGCTTTTCTTAGGCAATTCTTTGGCAGATGCCACTGAATCAGGAGTCCAAACAAGATGCAGGATGAGGCCGGATCCACCGAAGGCTGGTCTCACAACATAATTCTGACTTTCAAGCCACAGATTCCAAGATCTGGATGCTTGCTCTTCAGTGTAGCCAAAGGTCCAAGGGCCCCTTTGAATGATGTGTGGCTAGGCCTGGAGGGGGCCTTGCCCTGGTTAACCTTTCAGATATGTAACCTTTTTCTTCTTCTAAAGAATTATTAGATGACCAAAGAACATGCAGTGAATTCAGTTTTTCCTGCCTTTTGGAAGAACCCCATGAGAAACAATGAAATAGAGCAAAGCCTAGTGAAGGTTTCACAAAGAAGAAGTAGGGGTTTTTTTTGACACCTGTATTTCAATTCACCTATGACCGATCTCATTGGATCACTAAGCACCTGTCTCTCACTCTGGGACCCAGATCAGGCGTCACCTTAGCAGAGAGGCTTCTGTTTTCTATTCCCCACCTCCAGTGACCCTGGAATAAAACGGACCTTGGAAGGACATGTTAACGCTCCCTCCTTCACTCCCTCATCTGTGGACATATAGTATCACTTAGTTCACCTTAAACTTCCTGAGGGCAGGAACTGGTTCATTTTTGTCTTCATACCTCCAGCAGCTAGCATGGTGCCTTGGACAGCTGAACTGAATTTAGCATCTATGGGCACCAAAGCTTAAATTCTTAGCATAGAGGATGTGACCGACATTTCTACATGAAACCACACAGGGCTGTGACAAGGAAAATGTTAAGTCACATCTCAAAGCATGGCTTTTCTCTCAAAATAAAAGTGGTTTCATTTCATCAAGAATTTGCCTTTGACATTGCTAGTGCCTCATGCTTTAGCCATCTTTGTCATATTTTCCTAGCACTTTGAGTAGGACCTATATCCAGGAGCATTACTAAGTAACAGGACTGATGAGCCTAGGTGAGAGGTGAAAAAAAAAATCAATCTTATTATTTCATATTCACACACTATTGTCCTTTTCCATTTTTAAAGCCCTATTGCTTAACTAATTCTCAGGTTTCTAGATAAGAATAAATAAAAGCAGGGAAAGGTTTTGCTTAATCTAATCTTTCTGAATCACAAATGCTATAATCATAAAGTGCTCTCTCAAGTATGTACTTAGACACAATTTTTTTTCAACAATGAAAAACACCAACTGGTTTATACCAGAATATGACTGGATAAATCTGACCTGGTTCTTGGAGTTCTGCGATTTAACTAATGGTCTCAGGGCAGTGGCTATCCAAGTAACCTGGGACCTACAAAACTAAGTTATCTTTCTCTTGGATGCCTGCCAATCAAATGCTGCCCTTCTTTCAAAATTTGAAATTCCAAGGATGCTTCCCATTGGATTATTTCTTGTCAGTGGGTCACAGCCAGAGCTAAAATATTCAACAGGTCTCAGTTATACAACAAAAACTAAAACCTACCACTCCTAGTGAAATTGGCAATCTAGCTGTAAACTAAAGTGACGCAGTTTAAAGCCATACCTAGATGTAAGTGCTGTCATTGCATAGTGTTACAGTGTTTCCAATCTTAGGAATCCATTAAAAAGCTAACCTCTGAAGAACTGCCTCATCGAAAGCACAAGATGTGTTTAGCACACAAAAGTAAATGTGCGGCTACAATTACAGTTAGTGAAATGACCACGGTGTGATCTAGGTAGCCCTCTGAATACAATGAAGTGACATTCATTTTCAATCTGATTGCCCATCTATGAGAATAATCAAAATTCTATACCTCCTAAGTAAAGTATCTCCTTATGACATCTGTGACTGACTTCCGAAGAAGCAATGAATTGGGATTTTTTTGTTTTTTAAAAATCTATAACAGGTCCCCCTGCTACAGTCTATGACAGCAAGATGCAATGAATCTCAGTTGGAAAGACATATTCCAATACCCAACCCAATGACTTGGATGTAGTAGAAGTCTGTAAATATTTGCTGGTGGTCATGACAATGTTATCAGCTAGGGGGTCAGGCCATCCAGCTGAGGCTCCTGATGTGGACTGGTGTCCTAGATAAAAGTGGCTGCCCCAAAGAGAAAAATCAAGTTATTTGAAGGTTTACTTTTCAATTTTTAGCTTCTCTCAGCAATACTGCCAACCCTTGATTCTTCATAGCAATGGAGGAGGATGGCCCACATCACATTGGAGCCAGAAGTTTCAGACACCTTCTTTGAGGATCCTTTTCTGGGGGCTGGTCTGGGGTTCTAATCAGTGTCCATTTTTTTCTTTCCACCCTCTGACAGAAGGAGGACGGTAATGAAATGTCTTTAAAACGGGCAACTAGAAGCTGCCATCAGCCCTGAATAATCTTCCTGATAACATTTTGATAAAAAAAAAAGTCAATGAAAACAGATCTGAAGATGGGCCCCATCATGCTGATGCTTTCCCAAACTCCATTCCCATCTCACGCTTCTTCTCTCAGGTCCCCATCCTTCTTCTCTCTCTTCTCCCCCACTTCTCCCAAAAACCCTGGAATGAACAGCGCCACTGTTACTCCTTTCCCAGCTGAAAGCCTGAATCAACTGGCTTTCTGCTCCTGTAGGTTGATTCAGGGTGGGTCCTGTGAGCCCCCAGTCCATCACTCTTTCCAATACTTTTTCTCTTCCTTAGGACTAAAGCACGCCCTTCCTTCAGGAGCACCACATTTCAGGAAGAACCTGAAGTCTGAGGGACAACAAATGACCTTGGAAAAGACAGTTCAGGAAGTGTAGGTAGAAAAGGACATAAGCAAAGATGGTGCCCCATGTTTGGGAAGAGGGCACAGTATCAAATGGAAAAGATACAGTCATTCTCCTCAAGAAGAGAGAAGTGTTTGGTATGAGAGGAGGAGTTCTTTAAAAGGCATGAGATGGGGACAAAAGGAAAAAATATCATGGCTTTGCAAACAATATGCCCTATATATGTGTCAGAGCTAAAGAGTAAATCAAGGAATAAAAATGCAGTCCTCTACATAATAATAAAACATCCTCTACATTTTTTACAGGCTACCCGAAATCCTTTTGGCGGGCCACACGTTGTGCAGGCCTGATTATACCGATGCTTCTGTTTTCAAAGAAATACTCTTTAAAAACTGATTTCTTCTGAAATCAGAACTATGCTTTGGTTACAGTCATCAGTAAATGAAAATGTGTTTGTATTTCCATAAACACATTTGCATTTAGTACCAGGGAGCCAGTTTCAGTTAAGGGAAAAAAAAAGTTTTGGGGCCAAAGCCTCTGCTCAAGGCAAAAGGTCTTCTTGGGTCCTCCAAAAACAGCAGCCAGAAGGAGAGATGCACAATGCCAAAGAAATGCAAGCCTTTGCTCTTTTTCTTTCCCATCGCAGACATCAGCAGGTACGTGTTCAATGTGAGAAAGCTGCTCATTGGGACTCTGGCTCAGACAACCTCATCATTTGCTTGTCTTCACGATCGACACTCCTGTCTGCGACCACATCTGTAATGGGGTGACTCTACCTCCCATCTGTTCAGAAGGCTGAGACTCAAAGGCCAACTGTACAGTTACCGGCTTATTCAAGGAGATCAGACACACTCAGAGGGAGGCTTGGGAAGAAGAGGGGCTATGCTGAGCTTTGGAGAAGCCCCCAGCCTGGGGGGACGAGGAGAGGGAGAAGGGAACACGAGCGGGCTACAGACCAAGCATTCACAAGTCTCACCTTTCAAGGTATCCACGTGAATGTCAGAGTGGAAGCTTCCGGAAGGCAGGGGCTGTTTCCTTTTCATCTTTGCCCATAGCTGGTGTTGAATAAATGGCCACCGGACTGAACTGACTTTCCTATTTCACAGCAATCATTTTGATGACTCCCTTGCATGATTCATTTCCTGGAGTATTAGCTGGTGTTTAAAAGGAGCTTACCACCCTTACAGCATCATGCCAAGGATGGTGACGGTGACAGACCACTGCTGATCACTGCCTGAGGCAGTGTGTCTCCCTTCGACCCACTCCAACAGTTTGGAGGATTCATCCATTTCCCGCCCCCCTCCCTCCAGGTCTTCCCCCACCCCAGCTTTTTAAAACAGGTGCCCTCCTGGTTTCTTGGGTATAAACAACAGCAGGTATAAAAAACAGCTGCCCAGAGAAGAGACGATCTCTTTTAAGTATCCAAGTATTGCAAACTCAAGTGAATCCCTCTGGGAAATTCGTGTTTTTTGGGTGTTAATCTTAAGCCCCCAAAAGGCTGTGGCTGAGGTCCTTAAATATTAGAAGAGATAGATCACTGGGCTGTAGCAAGGTGCACAAGCCAACAGCCATCTGTACACAGTACAGAGTAGAGTGTTCCTAGACAGCGGAAGCTTCCAGGGAGGATGCCCAAGACGCTCCAGATTTAAAACCGTGCGGTTCAGGGGCTGCCAGGCTTTCTTTTCTTTAGTGTTTATGTGATACATAAATAAGAGTAGTGTTTCCCGTGGATAAAGTGAAGCGGTTAAGATCGCGGGGGTTCAAATCTATGGCAAATCAGTCCCGTCGTAGGTCACAGGCCAGTCAACTGTCAGGTGATAAAAGACTTTTTTGGAGATGAACCTGCAGGATGTATGAAGAGAAGAGCATCCTGTTAGTGATGGCCCAGAAATCCCACATGTGACTGCCAGATGTTTCAATGGGCATGACTTTCACTGGGAGCCAGTATCAGCAACAAGAGGTCAGGGATCTCGCTGTCACATGTGACCAGGCTACGAGTCAAGTCTTGGTGAGGAAGCAAGGGTTCCACTGCTCACAGCCAATGAACCTTTTTATAGTGTACCACTCTTAATTACCTCAAATGAGATGGCATGTCAAACACTACAAATGCTGGCTATTATCACTGCAGAAAAATTACTGCAGCCATGTCCTCCCTGGCCCACGGATGAATCCTCTACCTTCACATGGGTTGTAAAACTCTGTGTTCCCAGAGGAGGACGGGAACTCAGCAGCCCCCGATAGACTGAGCTGGACCAAAGCCTTTTTATAAGCACGAGGACCATACAGTTCCCATCAGCACTCATCACCACGGCCCCTCATCTACATGAGAAATGAAAATTATAATCTCCATAGAAGAAAGATGGAAGGCTAGTTGTAAATCAGCCTGGGCAGCTGAATCAGGGAATGTGTTTAAAATACTCTTCCCCACAGCTCTTCTGTGAGCACCTCTCCATTTAACTATGGAAGCAGAGTTTTAGGCTGGAGCTTGGCGACCTGTGGTACACACCAGAGATGATTTTAAGTCGTATGTGGGTACCAGTGCCTTCCCAAACTGAATCTGAAGAAGCCATCTGGTTTCCCATTCCTGCTAAAGAATTAACTGATAGTCGAAGTATTAGTTCAAAAGGGCTTAAGGAGCGGCCCCTCCCTGGGGTATCTGCATTTTTGAAGGCCAAAGATCATGTGGGAGGAGAAGAGGGAGGAAAGCTTGGGGTCTTACTATCCTCTCAGCAGAGCTGGAGCATTTAATCATGGGAGTCTAAGGCCGAAGGGAGTCTGCTCCCGGGGTGTAGAACCAAAGAGGCCTGTGCTGAAATCCAGGCTCATTAGGCAAGGTCCCCCATCTTTTTCCTCCCTGTGAGAGAGGAAACAACTCAAGCTTGGCATACCACTCTGGGAGGGTTGCCAGACCTTGATTTAGGTGTTTAGGAAACAGAAAAGTAACACGAACTGCCCACATCTCATGGAGCAGCCGAGAGGGGAGGCGGTCATTCCAACTCCTGGGCCTGACCGTGACCCTTTGGGAATGTGGACGTCCTGGCTGTGCAGGGGTGAGGAGGCGCCTTGCAGCCCCTGATTTTTGAGCCTGTCCATACAGCCTCGTGTGGTTTCATCTCAGGTGTCACCACTGGGGGCGCACAAGTTAAGAATGCCTTCAACATTATTCCCAGGAAAAAAAACTTCACCTACCTTGAGAAGGTATTGTCGAATATCAGGATGTAAATCCCTGGGTTCCTGACCTTCAGCTGACCTTTGATGTTCTCCCGGTGGGAATTGCAACGGATCATGGGAATTAGAACCTGAAAATCAAACCAGAGGAGACACAAGATGCCAGTTTCAGAGCTGGACAATGACATAGTCTAACACTTTCATTTTAGAGAAGACGAGGGGCAAACCTGGAACAGAGCTGCCTTAAAGACCGATTGGTTCATCCCCCATATCAAAGCCAGAAGGCAGCACAGTTTGGACTAGGAAGCTGGGTCTCCTGACCCCCAATCCAATGGGCTTTTCACCCTTTCAGTGATCAATGGAAAGGTGATACAACTCTTCTCCTAGAAGACAGCTACCAGGGGATGATGGTTCTAAGGAAGGGGTAGGGATGGAGATGCTAGGCCAAAACACCAACTTTATTTACTCCGAAGTTGAGGCCAAGGGGCAGGGCAGGTTTGTTGAATTTAATGCGGAGATTATACTTGTCCAACCTACAATAAGAGGCTGAGGCAGAGCTCTGAGCCAATGGCACTTTATTAAGGGGTCCATGGTCCCCTCTACTGAAGACCTCAGATCCTCCTTATGATCTGAGATAGGACCTGGTATTTAGAGAGTTTGATACCCAAATATGCAAAAAAAAGCATAGGAAAGCACAGAATCTCACTGGCTGATAGACCTTGCTCTTGAGGGCCAAAAATGACATATTAGCAGGGTGGGGAAGGAGAGTCATAGGTTGGGTGAAGCATGGGGCATCTTCACTAAGTGGTCATAAGATGGTCACCTGCTTGTGTTGGACAAGAGAAATTGGTCCAGTGGTACATGAATAAATTGGAGGACTTTTTATGTAGTTGGGTTTACCTTTGCCACACTGGGCTTGGTCACCACGACAAAAAAAACCAAGGGTGGAGGGCCTCTAGTTAACTTCTATGATTAAGCAGTGAACTTACAATCTGCAGCTCACAGCTCTGAAGCGTAATATACAGAACTTATAACCACTACTCTTCTAGAATCATATCAAACTGATTAATCCTGATTGGAATAGAGTAGGGGTCCAAGTGGATTATTCCTCACATTTTGATCCCCAGCCTTTCTGTGGATCGTTACAATCTAAATGAATGGAGGGCAGTCCTCCATGAGCGATGCAAAACCAGTAGAGGGGTAGTCCCCTCACCGAGGCACTAAGGTGACACGAGTAAAGAGGGAAAATGGGCATAACTTGTAACACACTATGTTCCATCTGATTACACATTAACTCAATAATATATTAAATGTAATAATAGATGTCTGGAGGGACGCTCTTGCTAACCAAGAACCATGAGGCACAAATACCTAACAAAACATGTCCCACACAACATGAAAATTGGGGGACCACAGAGCATTTGTTCAAGTGCAGTAACACCAGCACCGTCTGCCCTACGTGGAAACGATTCAAGCCATTCAGCCTTCCATTCTGGCGATGAGAGGCAACGCCCCTGCAGACAACACAAACAGGTCTAGACAGCTGTAGCACAGGGAGTGGAGGGAAATAAGAAATAGGGTGAGCCCTGGGGTCCCTGTTATCAGTGCTGGAGCGAAGGCCAAAGCGGAGGATTCGAGGTTCATCACCACAGGCTCAGGAACAGGGGGGTTAGGCGCCATCTGTGGAGGGGACGGTGGCGATGAAGGTGGCACACTCACTCGTCCCGTCTCATACAGCTGTCCGGTCTCTGAAACATTCTCTGATGCAGTCCTGTGGTCCTCTGGAGATCTCTCCTCTTAGGAATGAATACTGGAATGAGCGGGGCTTCAGAGCGGCTTCTGGTGGATTTACTTCTCCAGTTCAGGTCACTTGCAGAGAGCCCTTCTCTGTTAAACAATCTCTTACAAAATAGATCTTAATATAATTCTCGTTTGCTTTAGCAATAACCAGGTCAGGTAGTGCGAGCCAGCTCAAACCTTAGTAGCATTGATATGAACATCACTAGACCAGAGAATTTACATTTTCAGGTTGGCAAATTCAAATAAGAACTGAAAAATTTTAAAATTCTGAACCCAAACTTTATATTTGGCACACATAATTACCTAATCTTGTTACAACTATTTATTAAAACCAACTGAAAAATTATCACTCTAGCTATTTTCTTTTAGCTGCTCATCGTTCCCCTAGGAGGATGAGATTTTGCTAGTAAATTATTAACAGAACAAATTTTTTTTTAACAATGACGACCCCTGATAAACAACTGAATTCATTTAAAAGTTGCCAAAATAATTTCAATTGTAGCAAAAAATTCTGGGATAGGAGGCATAAATAGATCAAATAGTCAACTTCAAGACACTGCATGTCAAATAATTTATTTATAACAAAACATGTTTGCCTTTCAAGATATGCTCAGCATTCGGGTGGTAATAATAAACCCAAATAAAATTGGAAACATTCTTTTCTTCAAACTGAAACTGAAAGATGTTTCTGTTTTAGGCTTAATAATCAATAGAACAACAATTTGGTCCCATAAACTGTTGTTCCACCAATACCCAATTATCCTCACATTAATTTTAGGAAGAACAAAAATTTTAGGCTAAATAATTCAAATCTTATCTCTAGTATTCATCTAAGGAAAATTGGAAAAGGAGTATTTGTCTCTCTTAATATGATTACACAGATGTTTCAAACAATTTCTTTTTTTTTCTTTTTTTTTTAGGCAATTGGGGTTAAGTGACTTGCCCAGGGTCACACAGCTAGTAAGTGTCAAGTGTTTGGTCTGAGGCTGGATTTGAACTCAGGTCCTCCTGACTTCAGGCCAGTGCTCTATCCTCTGCACCACCTAGCTGCCCCCAAACAATTTCTTACATGTAAAATTCTTAATCTAATTTTGAAAATTTCATCATATCTCCCACTAATCATATTATCATGATGAAAGAAGGTTATAGGGTGGTCTCTTATAAACTAAGTAACTCACCAATTATAAGGCTTCATGGTCTCTATTATTTGTGATTCAACTGACAATTGAAAATGATCCCTCATTATACTACCATGTATACCTTAATTAAATCACCAACAGGGTTCATCTTCTCTTACATTTGCCCTTATCAATGGAATTTGCTGTTTGAGGAGAAAGGCAGGGACGTGGCGGCATTAGTTCTGTTTGATTTAAGGTATGAGTCACAGGCAGCCAACAATATGACAGGACGGCATAGCCAGCCTCAGAATTAACCTGGTGGGAAAATTTCTTCTTCACCAAGATGGGCATAGGTTTAGAGAATCCTCCACGTTCCCCTTCACAAGGCCATTCTCTCGACTCTCCCAGGGACAGACATCCATCTGTGGCAATCCTCAGACTGCAAGGTACGTGACATTTCCCTTGAACGATGAACCACCGGCTTTATGAAGGATCAGACATTTACACAAGACTAGGAAAAACAGCAAACTGGCGTCCGAAGAGACTCTGCCTCAAACAGCAAAGTTTCACTAAGTATAGCTTAGGGCTAGATAACTGCTATTTCTCTCATAGACTAGCCTCGAATTTTTCATTGAGAATTTTTTAACTGTTCACAAATTTCAGCCATTCATAACTATCACCCCACCCTTGGTTTGCGATAAAGCAAAGGGAGATCAGAGTATTTCAAGAATACAACAGGATGAGAGTGAAATGAGATTCCCCCAGCACAGTCCGTGTAGACAAGTGGGTCATACCTGGGCACAATTTCAAGGACTGACTTGGACACAATAATGATCTTCTTTTTCTTTTTTGTTTCTTTTCTTTCTTTTTTTTTTTTTTTGCTTTTTAGGGTTTTTTTTTTCTGTAAGCTCTCTAAGAGGGGTGCACGCTAACAGATGGCCATCGTTGGATGTAACTTGAAAGGCCAGCTGATTAAAAGCTATATAAGTTGGACAAATGACTATCATACAAGCTGCCACTGGGGGGATGCCTGGAGCAGCCCATTCTTGCTTAATTAAATCTATTATCCCTTGTGTGCCACAATGATACTCCTTCCCCCTTCCCACATAAAAATGTATATGCGGTGATCGAAGTTCTGGGGAAGAGTGGCTGCTCCTTCTTGGTCACTCAGACTCAAGAAGATCCGTTTAACCTTGTATTTCTGTTTCCACTTCTTCACCACAAGTTCATAGTTGGTTCAAAATAACAGCATTAAAGATGAGGCCTTGTTTCCTCAAAAGGCACTGCAGCTGAGTTTCACACCATCCTGTCAGTGGGGCTCTTCCCAAAGACCCTCACAGATAAAGATCACCTAAGAGGATTTTACCATGTTTTTCTCTCCACAGTAAGTCATTTATCATTATCATTATTACTATTGTTGTCTGGTTTTTTTTTTACACAAAATATACTAATAGATATATTTATAATATAACAGTATTCAGACTGAAAAGAGGAAGACACTTGCTTTAACATCTTCTCAGACATTCTGTATTGAAAACATCACCAATCAGGTGATAATAATCTAGTTAAATACCTTTCAAACTTACCAATTCATAGAAAGTCATCTATCTTATTACCCTAGGCATTTGCATATTAACCATAGTAGTTTGTGTAGTGCCCACCACATGCCAGGCTTTTTCCATGTCTTACAAGTTGCCTAAGCCTGTTCTCAATAATACTTTAAAATGTTTAGTCTATAGTTTCCCAATTTTATTAACATTCCATGCCAATTAGTAAAGGCACCTATAAATGGGATACCATTTTGCTCAACTGTATTCCTACAAGGTCTGAACACCACAGTGCTCTTCCTTTACACAAACCTGGCACGGTGTTAAGCACTTCACAATTACGGGTTTCTCCCAACAACCCTGGGAGATGGGAGTGAATATTTATTACTCCCTTTGTACACACCAGGACTGGTTAGATTCTCTAATTTACTACCATTAGAACATTTTCAACCCAATCAATTTTGATTTATACTGACTAGTGGCAATAAGTAAACTTCACTTTGCACAAGGTTCCATTATTTTTAGTTGGCTTATATTCAAAATAATTCATGGTGACACTCCCAATTTCCCATTATTGCTGCTTTGTTTCTTTGAGCGTCCAAAGAGCCAAACCAATTCCTTTACATTTTATGAATGGCTAAACTTATAGCATGACTATTTAAACCA